GCTGGGAAAAAATAGCGGAAACTGCCGAGGTGACGAGGAGCCGACCGAGATCTTCGCACAGAAACAGAAGCTGGCCCAGGATCAAATTCGAGAGGCGTTGCGTTCCCAAGGAAGCACTTGGGATCCGTACTGGCGATGGACGACTGGGCGACAGTTTATCTTCTGTTTACAGTCGTAAATGCCGTTCAATTGCTAGCCAGTCAGCGGATACATCCATAAATATATGGATGTGTATGGTATTTCAAATGCATAATGCCCACGGCAGACGATTAAAATTATAACCAGTGGTGGTGGGTCAGGGGTCAGAGTCGAGGAATGGAGGAGTGGGGGTAGATGAAGGGTAGAGGATGGAGGACCCAGCCAACTGCCATGTTTGTGTGGAAGGCGGCACAATGGCCGTGTCTTGGTGTCATCCTCGCTCACCACACTTTACGACCTTTCCGTAATCTGACAGATACGTCACGGCCGCTCCTTGTATCTTTCTCTCCTCTCCTCTCCTCGCCGTCTTCAGGTAGACAAATATCTCACAGTCTGGCCCCGAAAAGAAAAACGAACTCCTTATTAAATATGATTGTATTGGGTGAAAGTCGAGAAATTCGCGCTGACATCTGTTCAAGTGGCCTGGCAAAAGGAGGCGGTCGCTTTCAAAGAGGCCATCGGATCGCATAAAAATTATGAGAACGGTTAGTTGGCACAACAAAATCGATAACAACCTAGGGATTAGATAGGCAGGGAGGGGCAAGGCATGGCATTTTTCCCCGGAAAAACGTCTCGTAAATTGCCGCAGATCAAAACAATTGGAGTCGGTGCAGGACGAAATGTTTATTGCGGGAGCAGTTGGCAAATTGCGCTCCCTTCGCCGTGCTCCGTGCTCCCAGCTCCTCCATCGCCATCGAGATGGCGATAACCGAGGCAATTTTCAGCTCAGCAATATTATGCAATATAAATCAGCAAATGGCAGCGACACACTAACACCCACCCACCCATCCAAAATGGTGGCGGATGGCCACCCAAACCCACCCAATGGTTAAGCCAAGGTGAAGGTGAAGTGGACGGGGATGGTAACTTTAATTCGAAATGATAACAGAAGTTCCGAAAATGTAACAAGCCACCGTGAAAGCGAAGGGAAACGGAGCCGGGCGGCCAACTTCTGGGCCTCGTTGCCCGCACAGTGGTTCCGGCATGGTGATCACATGCCGCTCGATGGGTTATGATATGGGTTATTTCTGTGGCCATCAAGGACAGCACCCCACCATACAACCAGGCAGTTAGGCGGGTTGTCAAGGACAACAAAACATATTTTTAGAGGTTAATTTTCAAAGAAAGTTTCAAGGGGAAGAACTATAAATAGTTTACTGATTATTACCGCTTATGAATTCTCTCAGAAATCTTCGAAATGAGTGGTTTTTGGAGCGACTTTGTAGTCTTTTTATTGTAAAATTTCAATATTATACGTTATATACTATTTTTCAGGTTATTTATTGTAAAATGAAGTTAGACGATACTCAAATATCGTTAAAATAAAAGAAATCCGATCCCTATATACTTGATATATTACAAATTGTCTCCTTAAAATGCATCTCTTTAGATAAAGATTTTTAATCATCCTTCTGTTTTTAACTTCACAAATATCAAATAGAGAGACACTTAAATTTCATGGATTACTGAATAAATATTTATATTTTGTATATTAATACCTTAAGAATACATTCCTTAAACAAAATCTCCACTATCAGTCCCACTGTCCCACCAACAAGGATGGCTGCGTTGTACCTGAAACCAATTCGGCCTCTCTCCTCGGCTACCAACATTCCATATAAATTAGTCTCGTGGGTGCAATTTTATTAAATCAACAAAAATTTGCAATGTTGGCAACGTGTTTCAGTTTCAGTTCTAGTCCTAGCTCCCTCCCCCCTCCGGAATGCCAGGGAGCACTAAGTAGCCGTTGTGAAAGTGCCAGCTTCGGGGTGGAAGGCTGTCGGGCTGGGCGGATGTCTATGGACTTGGGGGTGCTTTCGGCTCTGGGGTACTCGTATTAAAAAGATTGTGTTCCATTTGAATGCTGTGCACATTTGTCGGTTGGTTTCTTGGCGGATTATTATAATATATTGAAGATCGCTTAGTTGAAATTTAGTGTTAATGTCAATGGGGTCTTATGAGCGCAATAAGGCGGCGCAATGGCAGGGCCAATGGCGCTGGCTCACAGGTCCTGCTCTTTCGGATGGCAATCTGTCTGTGGGTTTTTCCTTTGTGACAGGGTAGAGCTATTCTTTTGGAATGTAAATGGCGGTTTTAAAAGTTATACTATTCATTTGATTGGCAATTAGATTTGTTATCTGTGAGGAGTAGCAACATTGGGCATATAATAGGACTATAAACTTAGAAATTGTTACATATTTTGTCTAAAAAGTGAATAAGATTATGTTTCGTATAACAGAAGAACGAATATAAGATATATAAGATGAACTCTTTATAATATATTTGCTTAGCCAATACTCTTAGTAATATTATATAAAGGAAAAGTATAATCTATTGTATAAAAAGAAAACAAAAAGATAACCCACTTAGCTTTAAAAGCCATAACCATAAGGGTGACTGTAAGTTTATAATTTATTTATTCATTTTTTGTACTTATTTTTAAAAAACTTGAATACTTCCAAGTCAAAAACAGACCAAAGCTGAACCTGCAACCCATTTACAAAAGCAGCCATTTTAGCAGGAATCTTCCGTTCACCATTTTCAATTAATCGAATTGAAAATTGCACTTTTCAATTTCCCCTGCCGCACTTTAAACTGAAATTGAAAAGCGAAAATTGTGATAAATGAGCGCCAGGGGCTTTAAGCCTGCGCCCGGCGAGTGGCGGGCTGAAAAAAAAGGCAAAAACTCATTTCGCAGTGTTAATAAATTATGATGTAGCAGCGCGGCGGGATGTGCAATTTTGCAACAAGAGATAAAGGTGGAGAGCGGAGAGCAAAGAGCAGAAAACAACAACAGCAACCATATCCATAAAGGCCTACCCGGAGACATGGCCAATCTTTTCCGGCGGAGGCATGAAAAAGTGCCAGGGGATAAAATCAACCTGTGCATTCCGAATGAGCTGTGAGCTCAGAGCTCTGGGCTGGGAGATGTGACATCTGTGGAGTGGGGATGGGCAGAGATAGCAACGCATCTGATTCGGATTGGTACTAAGATTGGTTCTAGAATTGCCACTGAGACCCTTTTTGCACTTGATAAACAACAACAACAACAACAAAGAACACCCTTCGGAATGGATTCCCCGGGGGGTGCGGACGCCATCGAACAGGGTGTTTTATGCCGTGTTTTATTTATGCAAAATTATGTTTCAATTAAACGCAACGCGCTCGGTAATTGGCCGCCATTTTGCCGGGCTGAGAGCCAGAAATACAGAAATCCTGAAATCCAGGACGCGGATGGCAACATCTGCGATGCGCTGTAATTAGGCCTCGCATATGCCGCAGCATCCACGATTTGAGTTTGGGAGGCGCGGGGCTGGGATGGAATTTAAAGTAGGATCAGCGTTTGCGGCTTTGTTTGCCCTGTCAAAATATTGTAATTCTTTTTCGGCCGGGCTCAGCCCGCTAACGAATTTGAATGCCATAAAGTGACCAGAGTTTATGTGCGATTCGGCATTAGAATTACACGGCCGACTAACGCCATCCGCGGATTTGCCGAATCGCGCGCTGTGGTGGATACTCAGCTCGTAGAACATGAATAAAACATATGCCCGGGATGGGTGTTCCGATGTGTTTAAATCATGGATCTGCGAGAACGTTCATGTGTCTGGTTACAAATTTAAGAAAAAGTTTTTAACACAGAGAAAAAGTTAAAGTTGGTCTACCCTACGTCAGTTTTATGACTCCTTTTCTGCATATATTAATTATATAATATTTATTAATCAAGGGACAGATTGCCTTAAATGGTTTCTGCCGAGCACATACTATATAATATATATATATCAAGGGCCGCCTTATCGAGTCGATGATCGCCTTTTGGGGCAGTTTGAGCGACGCAGGAAAACTTTTCCAATAACAGCATCCAAATGTGAACTTATGCCCGGCCCGTCTACGTGCTCGGAATGGCGAGCGGCTACATCCGCCGTGAACCCAATAAGAATCCTAGAACCAACCCACACGCCCAGCCTCCCCTTTCCCCCCATCGAGGGGACAATCTTTGGAACGCCATTCTGACGTTTTCGAAAGTTTCTTTTATTGCATACATGAGCCATTTGGTTGCCGGGGCTTCCGTTTCCGCTGCCGAGGACTCAGAGCTCGTTGACGCTGCCATTACGCTGTCGCAGTTCCCCAAAAACAGGATGATGAGTACATCGTCTGGCCTCCACCTCCGGTCGGGCTGCGTTCCCTGGCCTCCTCCCTTCCGTTCATCATCCTTGGGCCTTCGTCCTGGGCGCACATGTGGTGGGCGTGCCGTAAATGGCGTCGTTATGTGTGCGCTTATTATCATAATCCGTTGAGTTGTTGGCGCATCAATTAAATTTAATTAAAGGCGTTTTGCAACATTTCCGGATACGTGGCCACGCGGCCAATTGCAAGAAGTCCCCCTTTCTGCTAGCCCTAACCCCGGAATGTCCTTGCGCCGAGGCATGAAATCAATTTGCCCAAAATGGCATTCGTTAATTAATATTTGCGGCAGCGGCATTAGGAAGTGAGAATTTATGCCCCGAATGGGAATGTATGTTAATCTATTGAATGGTTTCGATACTCAGCACATGCTCTGATATATGTCCTTGGACTGAATATATTCATTAAATATAGTCTCGCATATTGGATATATTAATAGTCTTTCCGAAAGAAAGTAATGTCTTTCCAGAGTTGGAAATAAGCCCCCATAGTCTGTAGGCCCTTGCCAGAAGCAGATGTTTCTCATTCGATCCGAATACTCTCTCTCTGGAATCTTCCAAGAAGTAATCCCAGACATAATCCACAGAGTATACCCACCCACCCCTCAATCAGTTCCACGCATTTCCTTTTGATTTTATTTATTTATTAATTCTTCACTGCAGTGGTTGGCTTATGCTAACGTTATTTTCATTTTCTTTTTGGGTTCGTTCATAATTTTCATAATTTTTAATCCCCTTGGCTGAAATCTGTTCGAACGGAAACGAATTTGATTTCCAGATTTGAATCTTTTCCATTTTCTTAACGTAAATAGTTTTCATGCAGTTTTTATGTACAAATACGATGGCGAATATAGCTTGGGCGCCCCTCGATCTAATACTAGGATCTGTTTAAAGTTCGAATATAATTCAGTTACGTATATGCGGGCTCTTGATCTATCGCAAGTTCCGATTGCCTTCGGGCTGGGTGAGTAAACTTGGTTGGTTAGTATATAGTATCGACTTGATTCTACGTATATATGTTGTTCGTTAGGCATTAGCTAATAGTTAGTTTGATTTGAAGTTTTTGGACCTCGTCGGAGAGGTCGGCGTATGGATGGGTTCTCGTTGCAGTGGCCTCCCAGTCGGAGTGAAACAAAGGTCGTCTTTTGTTTTTAATTTTCTTTCGCATTCATTTTGAAATCGCATAAAATTATATAATACACAATTTGTCACAACTAAACTTAAACTAAAATTAACAGAAGTGTTTAGCATAAGGGGTCAAACAAAATATAATATTAATTTACGCTCTAATTTGCTAGGCCGTCCGAATGGGACATTAAACATTAAACATTAAACATTAAACTTAAGCCAAACTGAAACGCAACAAAAACAGAAAGCGGAAACGGAAACGAAAACGGAAGTGGGAACAGAATCAGAAACAGAAACAAAAACGGTTTCCTTTTAATCAGGTCGTGAAACAAGGCAAATGGCTGTCACCGCCCGGGAATATCACTCGAACCAGGGGGACTTGATAAAAACAAAGGACAACGGTACTACAGGAAGGTCTTCCTATAGCGAAAAGGATGTGCTGGGGGATGCTGATGCTTTTTTTTTTTTGGTGGTGTCTGGTTTTCTGGTTTTTCGGTCAAAACGTGACTTTAACTCTGACCCGACTGCTTTTGGTGTTAACCATACTAGATACACATACATTTAGGTATTTATACATACACATATAGGTTCATAGTTGTATATATTTGTAATATATATTCATATATATTTGTCAATAATTGTTTATGTAAATACGCGCTTCCGCTTCGGTTGTGTATAATAAATAGATTTTGACTTTAATCCAACTTGCAATCCGCGAGAGACTATGCTAGGTAAATTGAATTTCGGGAAGTTTGAAATCTACGTATATGGGTTCTGCCATGGTTCCTCCTCCTTCTCTTTCTTAACCTCTCCCCCTTCTCGACAGTTTGTCTGTTGTTGCAACCTTAAGCTAATACGTATTTCAGAGTTTCCTTTCTGTTTGTTTGTTACTTTTGTAGTTTTCGTTTTTGTGTAGATTTGTAGGCTCTTTTGCCCGTAGTGTACGTTCTCCTTGCTTAATGGTAGTTAATTTAAAATTTTAGTCACTGGCAAACGACATTTATTTTCTCATCTTGCTCCTTCTTACTCCAATTTAGTTTCGAGTTTCATTATTATTATTACGTATTTGAAATCGTGATTATGCTTTCGGGTATGTTGCATACCGTTCGTCCTTACAACTGGTATTTATGGAAATATTAGCGCATTCTGCAGCAGCTTTCTCGCAGCAGCTTACTGGCTCTCGAATTAAGATTAATATGGCATTGAAGAAATCATTGTAGTGAAGCGTTGGCATACAACGAAATACAGCAAAACACACGGTAAACGCATCACTTAAACGAAGACATTGGAAGAGGGTTCTTTCTGTGCGAAAAACATAAACATAGGTTTCCAATAAATAGGGTGGATACAAAACGTACGCTCTATCGCTCTATAGGTAAGTATCATTAATCTGTAAGCATATCCATATAGTAATGTATTCATATATACCGTTTAACATAGTCGAACGTGGCTCTAAATATCGAACTAGGTTATCCTACAGCAGTCGCAAATAATTTTACACTCGAACCCCGCGAGTTGCCTTGTCCAAGACCCCCCTCTTGATGGGTTGGTGGCTGGCAACGTGGGCTCTCTGACTATCAAAAATCGCTCATTTCGTCAATATTCATCTTATATAGATCGCGTCTCCTGCTAACTCCTGCCTTAAGCATTTACCGCTATTCTAAGTAGTTCAAGTTATCCATTAATATTACCGAACTGGGCACGTTGGCCCAGAGACTCTGCGCTGGGGGTTGAATTGCCGTTTTGGGGGTTGGAAAGCGAAAGTAATGGAAGAAATGTCGGATACACAAATTCTCACTGGAGATCTGGAAGGGAATCGCATGCCCTGAACTATCAAATAGCCCACTGCACTCGGGGTAAACCTCAGAAAGCTTTGATCCACAGCAATTAACCCTTGGCCAGCTCATCGTCTCTGGGCCATCGCACCCACTTCCTTGGGTGTATGTATGTTTGTAGACTTATGCAACTATTTACTATGTAAAACTTTACGTATTTTAGTTATCGAGTTTTATCTTCTGCTTGCTATCTCGCGCCTTACACAGACGAGGAGACGAAAAAGAACGCCGGACACTGGTCCTGGCGGTGGCTGCGGTGGTGGTGGTGGTGCTAGTGGAGCTAGTGGTGCGGCTGGTGGAAGATTGGCTCGTTGGCTCGGCTGGGCGTCGTCGGGTTGTGGTCAGCTTAGGAGTTGACCTTGCTGACCGCCTTCAGTAGGTCGTGATTGCTCTTGTCCAGGGCGCTCATCATGCCTAGATTTCCACCCAATCCTCCACCGATGCCGGGTCCAATACCGCCCACACCTACGCCCACGCCCATGCCAAGGCCGAGCTTGAGATCGTTCTGACCCACCACGGAGTGGTGCAAGTGGCCCGGATTGTGTGCGATGATCGAGTGGTGGTCCTGCGGCTGCTGTTGCTGCTGCTGGTGCTGTTGCTGCTGCTGCTGCTGCTGTTGCTGCTGCTGTTGTTGCTGCTGCACTTGCTTGTTCTGCTGGGCGGATTTCATCGTCTCCTGGGCCTTCATCTTCTCCTGCTCCTCGCGATCGCGTCGCGCCTTTAAACGAAAAGAAAAGGGGAAACAGGTTAGTAAGGGTTTCAGTGGTACCTCCATAAGGGGGGCGACTCACCTGTTCATTTATTTCCTTGACGGCACGCAACTCCTTCTTCAGCTTCATGCGTCGATTCTGGAACCAGATCTTTATTTGGCGCTCGGTCAGGCAGAGAGCGTGGGCGATCTCGATGCGCCTTCGCCGAGTTAAGTAGTGGTTGAAGTGAAACTCCTTCTCCAGTTCGAGGGTCTGGAAGCGAGTGTAGGTCTGTCGGCCGCGTCTTCGGGGGCAGCCGTTGGGGCCTGCGGAGGAGAAAACAGAGAAAGTCGCGTCAGATGTTGGTGATGATTTTCAAGATGATGTTGTTGCCTCTTCTTTTTTTTTTTTTGCAACGACTAATGAGCTGCAAAGACGCTGTCAGACGGTCGAAAATGGGTACTCTGGCCAGAGGCAACACATGTCAGGCGTCGCCACATGATTTGTGCTTGGGGATTGGGGATTGGCTGATGGGGAACTCTGTTGCACTGCGAATGTCTGGCTGCAAATTACGAGCCAAACAAACAGTTTTTCCCAAAAGGGTGATGGAGTGCGAGGGGGGAGGGGGTGATCTGAGGCCAGACCTGACGTCAGCAGCCGCCTCCCCAGGACATCGACTCCCCGGGGTCCATTGCGGACCTGATTCCGCTGCGGATTGGCATCGCACGCAGTGCGTGGAAGGGTGAAGCAACCGACACACCGACTCGCTCAGCGGCAGGTCTCGCCCTGGTGGCCATCCAGCGCTTTTTCCCGATTTTCCCTGCATTTCTTTCTCTACTTTTCTGCCTTGTTTCTTTTTTGTATTTTTTTTAGCAATTTTCCATGCTACCTGTGCGAATTTTTTGCGCGACGGTGCGAAGATGCGCCTGGAATGGGCACAGGCTCCGTGTTTATGTTACGGAAATCAAAAATTCGCTATCTACAAATTGCTGTCCCAGTCGCAGTCCCAGCCTAGGAGCAGCCTCTCACTTTTACCCGCTTGCCGTTTTATGGCTTTTCATGTCTCTTCTTTTTTGTGCTGCTGCTGCTGCTGCCTTTGTGCCGAGTTTTTCTGGTAAAAGGTTTTCATGTCAACGGCAATTTTTTATGGTTTGCAAGTTGCGACTTTCCAACGGCAACCGGCAGACAAAATAAAAAAGGGACAATTTTTACGTAATATTATGAAAGGTGCAGATTTTGTAAATCTTCCTCGGCTGCAGTTGTAAATCATTTTGATTTTTCCTACTTTCCGCTGCATTTTTTATGAGATTGAGCAGTTGGCAAAATATTTACGGACGGCCGAGGCCGTGACTTTTGAATTTACCTGAACTGATTAGGAGCTGAGGTGAGTCATCTATGTAAGATGCTTAGATGGGGAAACTGGTATTAGAACTAAATTCATCAAGCCAAGTAGTTAAAAGGATTCTCTGCTAATATCTACCTTCTTTATTGGCTTAAAAATGGTTTCAAATTGCAGTTTCTTTCATTTAATTCCATTATGGGAAAATTAAATTCAAATTAAATTTCTTTAAATTAATTTCCTGCCCCAACAAAGCGCTACTTTAGTTTTAATTCGAGGAGAGCGGCCATAAAATAAGAAAAGCATTGCCTGCGGAGTGGCCAGGATATCTGCGGGAGGGGGCAAAAGCAATTTCAATTCTAATCAACCCCCTTTCCCTGCCATTCTGACATCCTGCCATCTCGCCACCAGGAATACCAAACTAATCTAAATTATTTACACGCTACAATGAGCAGCTACAATTCGTCCCATAAATCACGACTCCCAGGACACACGCGCCCCTAAACAAGATTTACGACCCCCGCAATGGCCGCCAATGGCTGGCAGCAGGTGCGAGCGGGATGGCTGATCTCGCTCGCAGGACGGAGTGATGGAATCCAACATGGCTGCCGCAGTGTCTGTGCCTTTCGCACAGGTAGACACACGCATACACAGAGCAAAAGAGAGAGAGAGAACGAGAGTGTGTCGGCATGGCAACGCCTGAGTTTTTCTGCCGTAGTGTGAGTGGTGAGTCGGCGCATCTAAACCGGTATTCCAAAGAGAGGCCACTCACACGTGGATGTGCCTGTAACTGTAACTGTGGCTGCGGATCTGAGCGAAAAGGAGAGCGCTCAGTTTGAGTCACGGCCGAACTTTGTTATTGATTTTCCAACGCCGCTGCATTTTCACTCAAAACGCTCGAAAACTATTCGGAATGCCTTAAATCCGCTTGGGAAAAATCTACAATCGACGTTTTCAATTCGGGTTTTCGGATTTTTTGAGTGTGTGCCGTCTGGTCGAGCCGCTTTGTGGGGGACTTTTGAGGGTTCAACGATCTCTCAAGCAACGAGGAATTCATTAAAGTTATCGAGCACATTATTTGTATTTTGTAAATATAAACGGGGCATTGTAGGGATCAGAAGGAGTAGGGGAAACTTAACACAAATTAGAGTTATTAAAATGAAATTTAATCGTTTAATTAATGATCTAATTGAAGGAAATCGTAATTTATGATATCATCAAAGTTATATTATATTAAAGTTTATTCCAGAGAAATGGTGCAATTTAATTTGAGATATAAACAAAGCTGGGAAATCATTAAGTTAGTAAAATAAAATCAAATGTATCTACAATTTATATTAATCGTTAATCGCTGGCCGTAAATCACCAACCCATTATCATATTCTTCTCGTTTATGTACCCTGTACCCTGTACCAAAGTGAATCATTTTAAGCTCTGTGAGTCACCAACTTAGATTCATCCCACAGCTTTTGTTTATAACTGAAAATGCCTTCTAATTAAATCTGCTGATCGAAATGTTTAAATATTAAAATCAACTCAAATTCCCACATTAGATTTAGGCTATTAGATAAATTCGCAACTGCGTACCAGTCGATAAATTAGCTTTGAGCACTTCGATAGACTTGACAAGCGCTAAGCGGCTATCGTAGGCTTTTTTCGAGTTGAGGTGGCCGGTCGGACCGGTTCGTTGCACAATTGCTAAGGAAAACCATTTTCCAATTAAAAATCAATTAGCGCGCCATAAATCGTGGCTGCAATTGACTGAAGCGTCGGCCGGGTAAACAAAACGGCATAAAAACGGGCTAGGGCCAAGAAATCTGTTTCGGAATCGAGGGAAATTCCAGACGCGGTGGCGTTGGCGTTGGCCAAAATGGAGCGGATCCAAATGGGCTATTTCAGTGTATACACCATGGATTGACCGAGGGAATCCGTGAGGTGACAGACCAGCCAGGAAAGCCGTCCCAAGGCGCCGCTGTCAACGGTGCGAATGGGCCTGGGAATGGTTATGTTATGGGAACGGCAACGAGAATGGGAATGGGAATGGTTATGGCCCAGTCTCGGGGACAGCGTCTATAACAATGACATTAACAATTAAAAATATTAATAATCATAAACGTAATTGTTCAATAAACAGCGCCGCGTATAAATAAGCAGAGAAACATACGAAAACGAGAAGCTGAATACAAAAAAAAAAAAAACACAGCGCAGACTGAAACTTATGATGACATAAAAATCATAAAAACAATTCAAAGCGTACAATAAAGATACTCACACACACACTCAAAGCGGGCGGGGTTTTTCGGGGCATGGGGCAAAAGCGCCATAGTTTGCCCAAGTATCTGTGAGAGTGAGTATCTATGTGTGTGTGTGTGGGCATTCGAAAGTGGTTCCGTGGGGACGCTGACAAGTCTTCGAGTCTTGTTTATCAAGCGACACAAAATTGTACAATAAACAAACATTTTGCCGTACAAGCATTTCGTGTTTAGTGTTTGGCTCCTATTTTTTTTACCATTTTTGTCGCTAGCCCATCCCTTTCTAAGGCTCCTGCTTTCGTTTTCGGTAAATAATAAACAAATTTACATATCGCTTGACAAAGAACTTTGAAACATTGTGGCGTGCTCTGGCACTCGCGCTGTTTCAGTTGCCGGCAATTAGTTTGAATTTCAATTCGAATTCCTAGCTGGGTCAAATTGTTTGCCGGCAAATAAATTTCGTGATTTTGTTGCTGTTGACCAGTCGAGTTTTGGATATTTTTAGGGGGGTTGTGGGCGAGCTTTCCCGCCTTCGACTTGTTTGTTGACTTTTGGCGCGCAAATTCCGTTGTGTATTTGTCTTCGAACGGAATTTGTGGAAATCTTGTGGGGTTTCTTAGACTTTATGGGCGTGTCTGGGGAATATTTAAGTATTGCTGAACTAGCTAAACGGCCTTTTATTCCAGGCCGAGGGCATTTCAAATTTAAATCTTTTTCTCTATGACAAAGTTATGGCAGTCAATGAAGCAGTTTAGACTTTACAACTTTATTTGATCAAAGTTTGACAATAGAAACAAGATTCTTAGATAAACCACTAATAGAAACAAAGTTTAATATGAACATTTTAATCCAAACTAAATAAAAGATTCTTGATTTGTGATTTTGGACATCCGAATAAACTTTCTTCTCAGAAACCCACATATCTTCTTTACATAATTCGAAGACAAGATACAATTTGGGATCGCGGCATCCGAAAATGTGTACGCATATTTATGCCTTGGTATATTTATCTCGTTCTTTTTCGGGAGAGAAGAATCTCACTGGGTGCGTATGTTTTATGCTGATTTGTTTATATTGGGTATGAATTTTCGAAACTAACTTCCCGGATGGCATGTTGAGAGATATATAAACAAAGGGCAGACATTTAACATGCCCGAAGATATAACAACATGCGCCGAACTGACTTGAGGAATGTTTTTTGGGGCAGCCATTCTGATGGCTCAACAAATTCTGCCCTCTGAGGCGGAGTTCATTGTTTTGCGGAGACGATCTTTCCAGCATTTAGCGCAAATTGCAGTGTTCCTCGGGTTAAATGACATCCCAGGGGAGCTGTTCTTTTACTCCCCCCCATCTGAACCTTCCCTCCTATGCCAGGGATATGCAAATGCGTGGAATTCTTAGAGCGACGAAGACTAATTAAACTTTGAAAGAAAAGCCGCTTAAACGCTGTTCCGACAAGACTCACGGGCAACATCTGGCGCCTTTGTGTGGCTTTTAGCGAAAAGGGGAGGCTGGGCAGGATGTTCGGGATGTTCAGGATATACTGGATATTCGGGGGTGTGGCAGGTAAGCGCCGCCATTAAATTGCGCTCATGCTCGGCTGTTTGGGGGTGGCTAAAAGCGGCAGCAACGGCAACAGAAACAGAGGCAACTCCTGGCTGCCATTGCAAATAATTTATGTTTATTAAATTTATTTAAATTTAATCAGTCGCACAGGCGTTTCGTATGCCTGAGG